ATAGAGAAGCTATTGCATTTTTCATCATAGAGAAGCACAGCACTTAACTCACAGTATTACTTGCTTTCAGTTGCTGTTAGCATCAGTTGGCTAAGAATGAATTAGAAGAGGTTGAAAAGTAAGAAAATGCCACTAGCACAGTAAGAATTAAAAGATTCATGTTTCTAATTGAAATGTCATTGTTATTCATATTTCTTACAGTTTATAATGTTATAAACTCAAAAATCTACACATAACTTTTAAATTATAGATATGAAATGGATTTTAAAAATTTTGATCAAATTCCTACTTATGACAAAACTGCTATTTGGTTCAAAAGGATTTCAGTGTTTTCACTGGTATAGTTGATATTTGAATTACATTTATTGGCTACCCCCCCCCCCCCCCCCTTCCGCCACGCACACACTTTCTCATTGTCTGAGTTTTGGGAAGTAAAATGCCTGCATATGGATACATTCTCCAAGGGAATCCAGATGCTCTCCCCCTTAATATTTTGCAAGGACCCTGAGCACATTTTCTTCATCACAAGGGTTTGGCTACCTGGTCACAGTAGGAATCCAGCTTGGCAGCACGTCATTGAAGCAAAGCTGTTTGACAAAAAGTCATATAAGCCTCAGCAGGGGTTTACTCCTCTTCTCTCAGGAGCTTTTTTTGCTTTTTTTATTTATTTGTTTGGGGTTGTGGTTTTGTTGTTGTCATTTTTGGTTTTTTTTTTCGTTTTTTTTTTCATTTTTTTTTAAATTTTTTTTTGTTATTTCTCCTTCAGGATTTCTTGGGAGATCCTCTTGGACTCTACACAAGCTACTGTGCAAGTATACCTTTACCCAGCCTTGTATCTTCCTAATTCTAACCTTCTGACCTGACTTTTGGGCTTGACCTTGGACCTTCCTCATCACTACTCATCTTGTCTCTCAGTCTGAATGGTTGTCTGGACTCGATCTGCTCTGTTCCTGCACAGGGACTGTGGGACTGCAGACTTTGTTGGCAGGATCCTGCTCTTGCCTGTCTTGCTCTGAGCCTGAACTCCCAGATCACCTTCCTTTACCTTGCTGCTCCCTGAGACATAGCAGATCTTTTTCATTAGGACGTGGAACCTGTTGACTGATTTATCCCACAGAAAACTATGTTTTCAAATTAAATCTGGGCTGATGAGGAAAGGTACTGTGCCTCAGTGCTCTCATCTTGAATTACTATATTGCCTTTAAGACATCCATGCTAATTTATTCACATCCTGATTTTAACAGACAGTTTTGTTTCTTGAATAGTATTGTAAGTATAATTCTTAACATAATAATAAGCTACTGAAGTCTTTTTATAACATCTGAAAATTTTGATTTTCAAAGTTGTTTGATTTGATATGTCAGATTTAATATTTTTTAGCTGTCATTTCTTTTTCTTTCATTATTTGGAGGAACTAATGCTGGCTTAAAGGATATTGACTTCTGTTTCTTAAAGCTATTCATCTGAAAACAATTTCCAATGTAATGCAAGAATAATTTCAAAATCAGTTAACTGTGAGCTCAGGCATGCCCCAGAGTTAGGTTACATGGAAGTTTTTTTCACAAGAATCTGGTCTCTAAGTGCAACTAGCTGTGTCTGTGGTACTGTTTCCTTCAATATAAGGCTGATGGAGTAATGATAAGAACAAGGAAAGAGGCACTAATTTAATCATGGCATGTTTCATGGTCTATGCTAATATAGATAACTAAAAAAATATCATAGGGAGAATCTATTTTGCACCTTTATAGTGCCACCTACCTTTTCATCCTATGCTTTCCCATACACAGGTCTACATGTATAATACCAATATTATACTCTTTAAGGAGAAAGCAGAATCCGTGAAAATTCCCTGAGAGTGTAGTTCTAAGACCTATGCTGGTGCCTATGCAAGCTCAAGAGCTGTCATAAAGCTATTTGACTACACATATAATCTAGCTTGCAGTGTGACCTGTCAGAATCCAAGTAAATGCAAATGAATTTTTGTGAGCACTATTACATTAATGAAAACTCAGAGGAATATTTGGTCTTAGAGATTATTATAACTTCATAGCATATCTTAGAAGTATTTGTTTTCCTTCTTTTGTGGGAACCTATTCTTAGACTCCATTAAATTATTTTCCCCAACTTTCACATTTAATTTTATGTCTCCACCCTGTTCTTAATATCACACTGGGGCTTGGCCAGCCAGTTATTAAAAATAATACTGTTTTTTATTTTGTGTCTGAGCATGGCTCTTCTCTCAGTTCTCAGATATATCCCTGAAAATGTAATAGAGTTCTTAGACCCTTGCGTTTCATGTCTAAAATCTATTAAGATATTATCAATAAGTACACTATTTATCTAAGACATTGTATTAAAAACATGAACAATATCATGAAAGAGTATTGACAGTGTTTTATTCTTTCCATAAGTCTTCCATAATTAAATTAATCAAATTGATAATTAGATCCTACAATGATCAATATATATCTTGTTTCTGTCGTTTCAACTTGAAAAGCCTTTAGATGTGAGGTGAAAAATTTATTAAAAAAATAAATGAATTGGGTGCAGTTTCGTCTTGTGAAACATGCCAATCCTGAAACTTTAAAGTAGCAAGCTTGTAACTTTATACTTTCATCTGACTTGTACTGAAAATAAAACCTAACGTCTATTTTTAGAGACATATCATTTAAACAATAACTTTAAAGAGCCTCAGGGCTGTTTGATAAGAATTGAAAGTTTTTCCTGTTAGATTCATTCAGTCTTCTCACACATCCTTGAGTGCTTGTTAATGAAGAAAAGTGTTAATGTTACAAGGTGCAAAAAAAGGTACATTATTTTTTTATAATATCTGATAAAACAAACCACAAGGTTTGTTTTTTCCTAGAAATTCCAAGCATATCCATCTTCTCACAGATGGGGCTATATACGTGCTAAGGCTGAAATCTATAGTCCCATAGAAAGTGAAAGCAGCATTGTACTATTCCCTGTTCCCTTTGCTCCAATGGAAATAATTTCACATTACTTCAGTTGGAAAAGAAATAAAATTAATGGCTTCAGGAAGCTTGGGAATTTTAAAGGGTTTATTATTTAAACCCTTCCCCCCCCCCCCTTTTTTTTAATGCTTTTTCCATTTCAAAGCATGGAGAAGACTCTTGTGTGTCTTGAACTGGCTCATGTATCTCAGGTAATACTGCTAGACCTAAAATCACCAGCAGTCTCTATATAGAGATACATACCAAAGATATACATAAGTTCTGAGCAGCTTTCTGAAGTCTTTCTCACAATACATAGTCTTTGTGCACCAGTGACTGTGTTTACTGTGATAAAATGGCAATTTAAGAGCAGAAGACTAGTGCAATGCAACAGTTGCTTGATCACTGAACAGAATAATTTGAACGTATGCAAAATAAGATGCCTGTATACAGCTTGAAACAATTTCATAGTAGTACAGAATTATGTGATGCCAAATACATGTATGTTTTCCAAAACTGACTTTAAAATTTTTTCTTTTTTTTTCACTTGGAATATAATATGCATTATTATATGATTAAAATAAAGGATGAATCATTCCACAGTAGGGTGACATTTAAGTAATACACCAAGGAAAAATAAGTTGTGTAAGTACATTGAAATAGAATAATAATAGCACAGTACTGCTTGTATTGCCTACACTACACTACTATTCTGAACATTAAATACTCAATATAACTGTAAAAATCTAAACTGTAATATCATGCATTTACTCTTTCCTCCCAGCATCAATTAATCCCTACCATGTGACCCAGTTTCTTAAAATCTCTTTATTTTAGCACAGTTACAATAAAAAAAAATTATAAACTATTTAGCTACGTTGATACAAAACAGGCCATTAAACTAACTTCAAAAGGAAAGACTTGCTAAAAACCTGTGGGCAGCTGTGAAGTGTGCCGTCCTTGTGGGCTGCTACATGCTACTACTTTAACTTTGAGGTTATAGATATCTTACATGTATAATCCCTGAAGTCTCCCTGGAGAACCACTTTTCAAATATAAGTTTTCTTTCTTACCTTTGTCAAGTAACAATGTGATTCTTAAAATAGCCCAGAATTATCATGTTGTATGCCACAGTCTGTTTATTGTGATACAGAGCTAGACTCTCTTGATAACAAGCATGGCTAACTCTGCATCAGCAGTGAATGAACAATGATATTGAACTCTGCTTCTTCACATGTCTGATTTTTCTTTTTAAGGTTTCCTTTATCTTTAAACAGAGGACTTAAGTTTATTTCAGTCTGTTGTCATCACAATTCCAGAGCTATGTATCAAAAAAAATGCTTGCATTGAAATCATAGCATTACTTCAGCTAGCAAAAGTCTGCTGGGCAGAAAGTAGAAAAAACATATGAACCTCAGTTTTCTACTCAGGTCATAATTTATGGATCTGTTGCTATCTTTCACAATACAAATCCTAGGCTACTAGTAGTACAGCAAACGTTTTCCCTCTCAAGGGAAATCCTGCAGACCATATCCTCTGTTCACTCAGCTATCATCTTTCTGTTCCTGTATAAGACTTCTCTGACCTAACGCAATCCTTGATTTTTATTTTACTGAAAAGAACTGACAGTAAAAAGAAGTCTGTATGTTCCGAAATCAGATTATCTTCCATAACTTTTACATATAGACACTTTGCACCTGAAGAATTTCAAGATCATTAATGTTACAATTCACAGTGATAAAAAAAAAAACAGTGATAAAATAGGGAAACCCTTACTATGTACAGGTGAAAGGCAAGCACAGCCTTCAGCTCGCAAAATGTGAAATCTAATTCGAGTCAGTGCAATGTTATAAAGTCATTTGCGAAGCGTAGACCCCACGCATGTAGCTCCTGTGCCCACAGTCTGGCTGCCGCAGGTTAGCCGGCCGGGCGTTAGTGGTGAGGAAAAGCGGTGACCGGGGTCGCCCTCCACGCCAGTCCGGGGTATTTCAGCCGCCCGGAGAAACCGGCGGGGGGACTTTTGCTTCCCCGAGGATAACAACTCACCTGAGCAGTACCGCTGCTTCCCACAGGTAAAATCCCGACACAGCCGCTCGGAGGTACCTAATCCGGGCCATGCTGCTCGGAGGCTCAGCAGAGCCCTGGAGCGGTGGTGTCCGAGGCATCAGAAGTGCTCCGGGGCTCGGCTCGGTTCTGCGCGGAGCTGAGCTGCTCCTCGCGGGCAGGAGCGTCCCAAGCACCCTGGAGAGCTCCGGCAGCCCCGCGCCCGCCGCCCGCCTAGCTGCCTGCGGCGCCTCGCGCCTTCCCGCTGGTCCCCGCCGCGCCCGCCCCGCCGCTCCGCATCGCAGCAGAGCGGCCGCCTAATCCCAGCCGCGGCGGCGGCAGGAGCCCACCGCTCCGCCCGCCTGGCCCCCGCTCCTGCCAGCAGCCGGCACCCCGCAGCCGACCACATCCCGGGCGCGGGGGGTGCTGCGGCCCCGACGGCGCGGGGCGGGCGGGGTGGCAAGGCGGGGGCTGGACACGGCCGTCCCCCCCGCAGCGCCGTGGCTTGCGAAGGCCGGCGGGGCGGGACCGGGGACAACGAGCGGGCGCCCCGAAGGGTCTGCCCCTGGAAGGGAAGATGACACCGCTGGGGGCGCGGGGAGGGCTTATCTGGGGGTCGGGTCCGGTGTTTGCCCTCAGAAGATCCCTGACGGCGGAATGTCTGCCCCTACGGGAAGAGGGATGGGAGTTATTCTGCTTTGCCTATAGCACCTATAGCGCTTAAGGAAATGTATGTGTGTGTGTGTGTGTGTGTGTGTGTGTGTGTGTGTGTAATCCTATTTCAGTCTTTTCTCTGAGAGTTCAGTGCTGATGGACACAGAAAAAATATATCCTGTTCAATTCATTTTCACTTTTTCGAAAAGATGGTCTAGTGCCATGAGGCAGACTAGGGAGATCCAAAGAGTTTGAAAGTTTTTCTGGGGAGAAGAGTGGAAGGGATTATGGGAAGCAACAGGGAAAGAATATTGTAAGGGGGAAACTTGAAAGTTATTAATGAGAAGAGGGAGGAACAGAGAATGAGTTTACAAGTACAGGTGACAGTAGGAAGGAGAAATGATTACAGTTATTGTTAGAGAAAGCAAACAACATTTCATGCAAGCCAGGAGCTGCTTGTATTAGAAAAGGATAAAGATTTCTGAGTGATCTTGGGAAATATTGTTTGAGAAATTCTTGTGAAATCTGTATGTTTTGTGTATGCAGTAAAATAATAAATGTGAGGAAGGGACATATACCTGGAGAGGGACAGAAAGGGAAAATATGTCTAAGATTGTAGAGTTGGGATATTCTGTGAATCTAAAAAGCAATGGCCTTTGAACACCAGCATCATGTCTTGGAGAGGCAATGAAAGGGGAACTATGGGAGTAGTTCAGGGAGAGATCTCTGCATATGTGAAATATATCTGGCTAGGCACTTCCTTCTCAGTGTTAGCCTCAAAATAATCTGCTGGCTTCCTTTCCCCTATAGCCACTAATTTGTGTTAGGTGTTAGACAGCGGCCCCACTCTGTGTGCAGCTCCACTAGTTGCACAGCCCATGTGATTGTCTCAGGCCAGAGTCTAGTTTAACTATTAAAATGCTATGCAAAGCTCAAGTGCTGAAGAAGGAAGCAGATGTGGAAAAAGGCAAAGGTTGATCAAGATTAGGCACATGAAGCAGAGTAAAAGAAACTGAAATCTGAGGGAAGTATAATGAAGTAATTGCAGAAAGACAGTGAATGAAACATAGAAAAACTTTTTACACAGAACAGAAAAGATTAAAAGATCATTCAGTAGAGAAGATGCAGAAAAGAAATAAGAAAGAGGGATTTTATGCATTCCTCATATCCAAGGATAGAGTGTGTTTTAGAAATAGGGTATTTCATTAGAAATCTTTACAGTAATCACATGTTCCACCTCCAGGGATATTGTCTTTTTTGTTTCAAAAATATCTCACATGTTGCTTTTACCTCAGTTCTTAATTTATATTTTCTATTTTGCCATACCCTTGCACTTTTTTTAGCTCTTCTTCAAGGTTGTTCCAATGGGTATCACTAAATAATAACACCTACCACACATTTTCAATCCAGTATGGATTTCTTTTTTGATACGTACCAAGTGTATGGCTTAAGAATGTCCTAGAATATCACTAAATTTCCTCTGTTCCCTGAACTGTTTCATTCTTAATTTTTCTTTTTTTTTTTTTTTTTTTTTTTCAGTGGTAGTGGTTACATGAATTCAGGAACCCTTTGTATTCAGTACTCCAAATTTTCAAGAAGTTTATCCTTTTGTTCCCGTTCTCTCTATGTGGAAACAGTGGTCATGAACAGAAGCTGTTTAAACCCTTAACTGAAAACATAATAGCAAACAAAGTAAATAATCCCTGTATTGCTCTAGGACAGTCTGTCGAGGCAGGTGGTCTACAGAATCAGCATAGAGTGCTTCCCTTTTCCCTTCTATATTCAGAATGTTTGAATCTTATCTTTCCTCTTAAAACTAGTGTTTAGTAAGGCTGCTTCTCCCTGTGCTGTTTATCTTTGTGCATTATGTACTTCAACAGTGAATTGGTCTAATATTTATTTATGCTGAAGCGATTTTTTTTTTTTTTATGATACTATTAGTTAAAACTACCAACATGAACTCTCCAGTAGGAACAGTTCTATTAATTATAAATATAGGTTATAGTTTAAATCTGCAGAGTTCAAACTTCTCAAAATCCCCATGGGAAAGACATGCACTTGCTTCTGCTTTAAGTAGCAACTTTGCTGTTGCATCATTTTGTTCTGCTAAATAAGAATGTTGTTTTCAAGCTCTTGAAAATTTTCATATGGGTAGTGTTGAATATTAAAATACTCTCTTCTGAGTGATTCAGACAACTCTCTTTGATTCATGAAAAGTTCCATTTCAACAAAGAACATGTTGTTGACCAGTGAGATTTAGAAGCATAGAAGCGTACTTAGTTTTTAATCACAAGCTTTGATAAAATATTCTCTGCTTAAAGTGTTTTAATTCACTATTGTTTTAATTACCATCTTCTGATTCCTTCCATATTGCTACTGGTAGACTTACCTATTAAACAAAGCTGTACACAAAGCTGTGTTCAGTCTTTAGAAGATCTTTATGGTATCTTTTTATCCTTCTGGTAGATACAGTAAATTAAAAGGTAGGACTTGTTTGAACATCCATTTAAAAAATGAAATTAATTCAGTGTCACTGTAGTATGAATTTGTCTCAAATATCAATGGTGTTATGTGCATAAAAAGCTGAGCTGTTTAATTTACTTTCAGTAGTATTGAAGGTTAATTGAAGCATATTCTTCACAAATGGAAAACACTGGTATATTGAAATGAAAAGTTCTCACCAGAATACATTAATATCAATATCTAATTCTCCCCATAACCAGCAGGGTGTATAGCTACTCTTTCTCTGGTCCAACATGTATTTAGGTATTTTTGAAAATAAACCACTTGTATTTATGAGCTTGAGATATGTACACCAGGAGTAGCCTAGGAGTCAAAAGTGCCATAGGGTTACTAGAAGGAGATGATCCTAATGTGAATCAAAACAGTAGTTTGCCTTTTAAATGGGGATACTTTAACAACCTCATGTATTTCCACTCAGCAAGATAAACGTCAGTTTAATAGAGTAACTCACTTTCATTTGAACACAAAATTTATACAACTGAATGCAAGATAGTGCAGTTACTCAACAGTATTAGAGAGAAAAGCCAATGCGCAGATGTGGATTGAAGGATTACTGCATGTACTTTTTGGTGTGACAGAGTCCTTGTGGAATATTAAACTAATCATAGTGGTAGTCATGAGAAGTTGCTATAATTATTTTAGTGTGCCCAATCCTAGAATATATTGTAGTTCAATATGTTTAAATAATCATTCTGTAAGAAGGCTGCTGACAAATTTGAAAGGTTTCTGAAAAGAACTACAAGAACATTACAGTTTGGAATACCTCCCTAACATAAGATAAAAGCAGATTAACTTGTGAAAAACAGAAAAGTTTAGATTTGTCTTTAGACACCTTGATGATGGAAAAAAGTATGTGAAATGAAAGCCATTTTTAAATAAGCAGAGGTAGTAAATTAACAAGACTGGAAACTGATAAAAGATTAATTCATAATAATAAAAAAAACCAACAAACCTACTTTGAAGCAATTGAAAGTTTGAAACAACTAAAAAGGGAGCAGAACTGATCACCATTTAAATTCTTTAAATGTAGGTCAGCTGTATTTTCTGGGCTTGATCCAGAAGCCACTGGGTAAAATTTTATGAGCCTTGAGATTCAGAAGTTCAAACTAATGGCTCCCATGTTAAAACATGTGAGTCTATAAACCCAAAGTGTTTTGTCATGATATATTCAGCTACAAAGTTAATGTTGTGTGCTTTCTTACAAAAGCAATAAATTGACCTTACAAACAAAAGATTGGCTTCCAAGTTGACAGAGTTGAAAACCACGTATATCATAATGGTAAGGAATAAAGATCTCACATATGTAGTCTTTACCACACTTATATTGCCAGTTTGAATATTCCAGCATTTTAAGAGGGTGTTGTGATGGGATATGACATCACTGTAATTTTAGATTCTGGTTTTACTGAGACATGTTTGATTATGTTAATTAATCTGGTTATCTCGGTACACAGGATTCCCCAGGATGTAATTCATTGAAGTGTGAAACCCCAGAGGCTTTGACCTATTACTGAATACAAGCTACAAACAGAAGAGAGTTTTTTTGATAAACGTAATCCTAAAATAGAAAGACCAACTTTAAAATATGAGAGTAAAACTACTAAAAAGAAAAATGTAATTGTTCAGTATTCCTCAATAAGCAACAAAAGGCTTAGCAATGTATTTCAGTCTCTGAAAATAGAGAGTCTGTGTAAGAGCATTTGCCAGCTTTCTCTATGAGAAATATAGGTGTTCACCACAAGGATGTAACATAGCATTCTTCAGAATGTATTACCTCCAAAGCAAGTCTTGGTGTAACTAAAATAAATAGGCTTTTTAGTCAGGTTTGCAGAACTTTTGGCTGTTACATTTAATTTCAGGATGCATACAAATTGTTCCTAATTCATGATTAATTAGATTATCAGCCTTTTAACAAATTGAAACATGACCGGCAAATTGCATGTATCCAGAGAGCTTTTCTTCTCAAGCACCTTCTATCTTAAGCCTTAATTCTCTTCATTCAGATGGAGTTGCCCAGTTCCAGTGGCAACTGATGTCATCGTGTGCTAAACCTAACCTCTGGGGAGGTGGGTCATAGCAGCAGAAATTAGGTGGTCTGCATTTTACTCTCAGTGTTAGAACTCATTCAACGTTAA